CCTCGTTGCTTTTGGCCTCCTGCGCAGGGATGCCGCGTACGACGAAGGTTTCTCCTGTCACTACAAACAACTTCTGGCGTCCTAGGCCCACTTTCTTTTCGTGTCTCTTCTCGAAAAGGCTCAAACAGCACCCCTCCCCAGCCCAGCACATCAACGAGGGGTCGCCCTGCCAAAGGCGTACGCTTGATCCGGTTTCCAATCGTGGCCTGACTGCCTCCTCAGGCTTGACGTCACAGTTTCTTGGCTCAGGCCCTTGCCTACATCATCTACTCGTCATCCTGCCGGGTTGCCTTGCCTCGTCGCAGAAGGGACTACAAGGTTCCGATCAACGAAAGCTTCAACGGTTCGGGGGTCATGAAAACAACACAAAAGCTGAGGCAACCCGGGAAGCTTCGCTTTAAAGCCGGCACCAACCAACCTAAGCCAGCTCAGCAGCAGCTCCTTACGAGAGGAGCCACTGTCGCTGGCTGTGGGGCAGCAGTTCTCAACACCGCTGGTCGCCAACTCGTGTCTGCAAAGTTCTACCCTACCATCTCCCTTGTCAGTCCACAGCAATACTGCAGCCCGAAGAGTGTAGCGGCGAGAACTCATTGTGAGGACTTTTCTGCTTTTGGGGGCTAGCCTCAGACCTGGGTAATCCTGGGTATGACTGAACCGCGTGACTCCGAAAAGCTACGGACAAGTACAGTCTTGACCATATACAAGTGTGACGCAAAAGAACCTCAAACCACACCGACATCCGCCCTCCCGCCTTCTCCGCGCCCTTCGCCAGCAGCTCTCTGACGGTGTCTGTGTGGCCAAAGGCGGCGGCTTTGTGGAGCGGGGTATAGCCTCAGACTGGACTACAGTTGAGGTCCCACATGATAGTACAATGTGTTCATTGCCATGGTGCGCTTAATGTGATGCTTCCACCGTTATAATTCATAGCCGACACTCTACACCCTCACCCACAAACCACCCGAAAAGCTGCCACGAAAAGTCTAAACGACTCAAACCTCGTGAGTTTCGGCTTTGTGCGACTGCCAAGCCTCTTGGTGAGCGTACGGAGTCGTCGCGTTTATGCTGATTTGAGAAAGGCTACAGTAGTGAACGAAAACTACACGCATGCCAACATTGATGATGCTGCGGACATCGATGGGCTCCTTCTCTAATGTTTAATATCGGTTCTGCTTGTTCATGCCACTGGGCAGCCATTGTAGGGGACCCACTCGAAAGCGATCTTGGCTCTGACCGTCGTCTCGCTGTGAGACGAAGGCCGCTGCCGCGAATCGTCACAGCCACCCGAGGCTGCGGCCGTTCTTGTTCTTGGCCTCCTGTGCAGGGATGCCGTGCGGTTGCAGTTTTGTGCTGCAGGCCGCCGAATGACGAAACTATCCCGGAACTGTGTGGCGATGCCCGACCTTCAAACGAAGTGATACTGAGGCCTAGAACGAGGGGTCGCCCCGGGAAAAGAGCATGGCAAGATGCTCTCTCTGTGGTTTTGGCCGCCACCAGCCCAGATTGAATGGCATCACAAAACCATGCAACCCCAGCCTCAGACTTGCTCAGACTTCCCCCAACACGGTCAAGCCCGGAACGCGAAAACCCAACCGAGGAAAGTGATGCAAGAATGGCAGTCCGTGCGATGTTGCTTTGTCGAATCTAGCAATCCGCGAGTTGTGGCAGCCACTGCAATCGCATCCTGCGTGATCCGCCGCTTGTCCTCTACGCACCCCGCGCGCGCGCCTTTTGTCCCTCCAGCGGCTTCTCCGACTGCTGCAGCAGCTACACAACAGGCAACAGCGATCTTTCCGGCAGCAGCAACAAAGATGAAGTGAGTGGGCGGCGCTTAAGCCCCTCGACCTCCTCAATACGCCTGCCCAAGGAACCGTATGAACACGTTCTGCTCGCGATCAGCCAATCCCTCCCCTGCCCTGCCCTGCCCTGCCCTGCCTTGCCCTGCCCTGCCCTGCCCTGCCCTAACGTGTTCAAGACCTGACCCGACCTTTTCAACTGGTCTCAGGGGCTTGGGTAGGGTGTGACAATGCTCCGCCCTGAAGCTGGATAAAGCAAAGGCCGTCGACTCATTGAGGTCGAAGGTCCTGGCCCATCTAGAGCAGCACCTGCCACCGTCCATGCACAGGGAGTTCGAGTGTTGGCGCAAGCTACTCGCGCCGGGGACCTCACAGAACACCGTGGGGGTCGGGACGCATCAAGCAGACGCGTTCGTTTTCGCCTTGGCAATGGAGCAGGCCCTCCACACCGCTCAAGCGCAACCCGGCTGGCCTCCAAGATTGTCTGCACTGCCTGACTTAGAGCTGGGAGACATACTTTTCATGGACGATAGCTTTCTGTGGAACGCATCGAAAGCGGATGTGACCAGGAAGTACGACCTCCTCAAGCAGAGTCTGGACGATTGGGGGCTCATGGGAGAGTGGACCGCTCCTACTGGACGGGAAAGTGGTGCTGCCACGACCGAACCTACACGTGATAAGGATTCAGTTGGAGGTCCCACTCAAACCTGAGAGTCTGATGGACGCCGGCCTGGCCAAGGCCCGTAAAAAGGACTTCGCTAGCAAACACATCTTCGAGTGCAGGAGCCCCCTCAAGAAGCGACTGCAGACCCTAGACAGGGCAGTGGGTGGTGCGGCCCTCTGGTATGCAGCGGCAGTGCTGCTTACCCCGCAAGGCTGGGGGCAGTGAAGTCCTTCCAGCTCTGGACTTGGTCACGCTCTGGGGCACCGGCATACGCCTTTCGAGCCTGTCATGGTTTCCCTGGATAGCTCTTCTCCCGAATGACGACCGCAGGGCTCCGTGTATCCTTCGTGGCGACACCGTCGATCTCGTGGGAGCATTCCATTGGCTGTGTTTGGGGCGCCCTCAGTGAGCCCCCCTTTCTCCAGCTCCGCCAGGCCAGTGCGGTGACGCTGGCCGAATTCCCAGTACCTGTAGGCCACCCCATTTCCGCGCAACTGTAGTAGGTCATCCCGATATTCTATCAACGTCCCAGTCCCATGCACCGATGTGTGCCACCCCGGCTTGCGGCGAGGTAATTCTTGGAAGGCCACCACAGCGGGTCGGTCTCCTCCTTCCGTGTCAGCGTCTATAGCTGCAAGGGCATCGTCCACTGGCGGCTTCCCACCGACATTCCATGAATGCAAGACAAGGTTCGAATTTGTTTGACCGTCACAGTTTCTGATGTGAACGTGTAAGAGAATACGATGACTCTTCAACAACCCTCAACGATTCTAAAGATGTCAAATTTGCGCAACCCCAACCCACCGAATGCACAACCAACTTATGCCAGCATAGATCTTGACATCGTCACGGAGCAGTGCAACGACCTTGACGACCACGGCAACCAGAATACAGAACACCACCCAAAGACCATCAGAACAAAGTACTGGCGTGACTCAACACCACGGCCACACGGCTTCCCCAAACTGCTGCCGGGATTCAAGACCATGTCGCAAATGCTTTCCCCAGGTACTGGCAGGTTCTGGTTTGGACCAGAAGGCTGACACATCCAAATTGTTTCCCAGCACTGGCACGGGCCCTCATACGGGATGCAGGAAGCTGCCCAAACTCGGGGTCAAATGTAGAAATTCATATAATAAAACCAGTATTGCATCAAATGGACGCGAAGCGTCCAAGGCACCGACAGCCCGCCAGCCCCCCCCCCCATCCGGATTCCGGTTGTTCGGAGGGGGGGGTACAAATCAGGAGTCACATCAGAGCAGTTTAATTCCATCCCAATGCATGCCCAACCCCTCCTCGGTCCCACTTCGCCCCTCCGCGCCCTCTTCAACCCGCCTCGGCACCATTCGGGCTTTGGACTGGGCTGATTTTGGTGTGTTTTTGGTGGTAGTTTACATACAGTATTGGAGTAGTTTAAGTCTGCCCCAAAGCATGCCCAACCCCTCCTAAAAAAATCCAGAATACTGCACAAATCGCGTCACAAAAAAAAAGCCCGCATGGTGCCGAAGGGGGGTTCCAGAATGCACAGAAGAACGGAAGATGGGTTGAGCACGCATAAAGAAGACGGAATCAAAATACTCTATACTCTACATACTCGGGAGTTCGCCACAATACTAATTACTCAAATCACACCAATACTAGCCCAGTCCAAAGCCAAGACGGTGCCAAAGAGAGTTCAGGGAAGGGGCGCCAACCCAGTCCAGAGCCCAAATTGTGCCGAGGGATAAATTTAGGAATACTCTAAATATATCGGCGTTATACACGGAGCGATTCCAGCTGGTAGCCCCCTTGGGGGTCGGCGGCATTGGGGTGCAGCCATTCTTTTGGGTTCCGATCAACGAAAGCAGGGTCGATGAAAACAACCAAAGTTGAGGCAATCCGGGAAACTTCGATTTAAAGAAGTCACCGCGAGCTCGCAGCAGCTCCGCACGTTTTCAAAGGAGCCAATGTCGCCGGCTGTGAGGCAACAGATGTCAACACCGGCGGTCGCTGCAGCCCGAAGAGTGTAGTTGCGAGAAGTCACTGTGAAGGCTCCTCTACGTTTCCGGGCTGGCCTCAGACCCGGATATGACTGAGCCGCGTAACTCCGAATAGCTACGGACAAGCACAGTCTTGACCCTTTACAAGTATGAAACAAAAAATCCTCAAACCACGCCGACATCCGCCCTCTCCCGCCTTCTCCGCGCCCTGCGCCAGCAGCTCTCTGACGATCTCTGCGCGGCCACCGGCGGCGGCTTTGTGGAGTGGGGTCTCGCCTCAGACTCGAAATGCTAAGCACTGCGGCTTCATCCGGCAAACGGCTGCTTCTGATATTGGAGTAGTTGTTGTTGCTAGGCACAGCTGAGGTCCCACATGATGGTACAATGCACGCGGTTCTATGGTGCTCTTCATGTGATGTTGCCACCGTTATAATCCATAGCCTACACTCTACACCCTCACCCACAAAGCACCCCAAAAACTGCCCCGAAAAGTCTAAACGACCCAAACCCAAACCTTGTACGTTTCGGCTTTGTGCGACTGCCACTTGGTGAGCGTGCGGAGTCGTCGCGTTTATGTATGCAGACTTGAGAAAGGCTGCAGTAGTGAACGAAAGCTACACACATGCCAACATTGATGATGATGAGACGAACATCGATAAGCTCCTTCTCTAAGCCGTTCATGATATTTCCCTTCATGCCAGGGGACCCACTCCGAGGGGGCTGGTGGGATTTTACTGCAGTCTCGCTGTGGGACGAAGGCCGCTGCAGCGAATCGTCACAGCCACCCGAGGCTGCGGCCGTTCTTGTCCTTGGCCTCCTGTGCAGGCATGCCGTTCGGTTCCAGCTTTGCGCCGCAGGTGTCCTAAGCCCGCTGTTTTCGCCGGCTCAGCATCTCGTCTCGAAGAACAAAGACTCCAACAGCACCAGGTGCACATCAACGAGGGCTCAGCCCCACGACAAGAGCGTGTCACGAGACCGGTGGTCTACGACTTATCTGGGGTGCTCTCGTTTTGGTTTTCGCATGAAAAACACCCAGGCCGCCGCTAATCGAATTGAAAGGCATCACACAAAACCATGCAACCCCAGCCTCAAACCTTCTCAGTCTCCCACAAAAATAAATCAAGGTCCTACATCATCCACTCGTCATCTTGCCTTGTTGGATTGCCTTAAGGTTCCGATCGGCGAAAGCTTCAACGGCTAGGGGGCCAGAAAAACAACAAAAAAATGATTTAACCCACGAAACTTCGCCTAGAAGCCGTCACAAAAAATTAAGCCAGCTCGCAGCAGCTCCGCACGTTCACTACAACGTTAACCACAAGAGGAGCCACTGTCGTCGGCCGCGAGGCGACAGCAACAGATCTCAACACCGACGGCGGCCAGTTTGCGTCTACAAAGTGCTTCCATCTTCCTTGACAGTCCATAGCAAGTCGGCATCGCGAAGAATGTAGTGGCGAGAAGTCAATGTGAGGGCTCGTCTACGTTTGCGTGCTAGCCTCAGACCTGGGTATGACTGAGCTGCAGTGCAGTCTTGAGTCTTGACCATATACAAGTATGACACAACAAACCTCAAACCACGCCGACATCCGCCCTGCCGCCTTCTCCGCGCCCTTCGCCAGCAGCTCTCTGACGGTGTCTGTGTGGCCACTGCCGGCGGCTTTGTTGAGTGGGGTGTCGCCTCAGACTCACACTGCTTCAGCCTCACCCGTCAAACGGACGCTGTTGCTGTCGTGGTTGTCCTTGTTGTTTCAATCTTGAGGCCGCGCATGCAGCTGATGTGTTCAGTGCTGTGGTGGGTGCCAGCATGTGATTATACCAGCGTCCGCTGTTATTCACAGCCGACACTCTACACCCCACCCTCCCATAAGCCATAAACCCTGACCCCACACCCTCAACCCTTGACGGGCACACCCCTCCAGACCTCATGAGTTTCTGCTTTGTGCGACTGCCACCAAACGCGCAGAGTCGTGCCTGCATTCATAGTGATCTGAGAAAGGCTACAGCATTGAACGAAATTTTTTCTCACATGCGGACATCGACGGGCTCCCTCTCCACTTCTTTCATTAACCAATCCCTTTGATGCCAGTGCGTGGCCACTGTAGGGCCCCCACTCCGAGGGGGCTTTTGGGCTTTGACTGTAGTCTCGCTGTGAACGAAGGCCGCTGCCGCAAATCGTCACAGCCACCCGAGGCTGCGGCCGTTCTTGTCCTCGGCCTCCTGTGCAGGGATGCCGTTCGGTTGCAGTTCGCGCTGAAGGCCGCGGAAGCCCTGGGCACGCACATTGTGGCACACGTCCGACCGTCACACGATTGACCCGGAGGCAATGGAATTTTGGGTTTATCTCCTCAATAGTTAAATAAGCCTGGAGTGTCCTCCAAGCAGCGTCGAGTTCAAACCCAAACAGCACCATCTCCCCAACCCTTCACATCCACGAGGGTCGCCCCACAAAGAAGAGCCACGAAAAGAGCGTGGCACTCGGCCGGTGGTCTACGATTGATCTGGGATCCTCTCTTTGTGGTTGTCGCACGAAAAACACCGCTGACCCTTCGCAGAAGGGACTTTAGAAAGAACGGAGAAAGGTTCCGATCAACGAAAGCTTCACAGGTTAGATTTAGAGCATCATGAAAACAACAAACAAGACTGATTAAACAGCGAAAGCTTTGGCGACAAGCGGCCTCTTACGCTACGAGAGGAGCCATTTTACGTCGGCTGTAAGGCAAAGGCAACAGATCGCAACACCAACAGCGGCCAGTTTGTGTCTGCAACGTGCTACCATCTTCCTGGTCAGTCCATACCAAGACTGCATCCCGAGCAATGTAATATCGAGAAATCACTGTGAGGGCTAGCCTCAGACCTGAGTGTGACTGAGCCGCATAACTCCGGAACCTATGGGCAATTACAATCTTGACTACAAGTCTAACACAACAGCTCAAACCATGTCCACATCCGCCCTCCCACCTTCTCCGCACCCTGTGCCAGAAGCTCTTTGACGATCTCTGTGTGACCCTTGTCGGCGGCGAGCCAAAGGGGGGTCAAGCCTCAGACTCGCACCGCTCAAAGGGCTTCAGCTACATCCGTCAAACGGATGTAGTTGCATGGTGATTCTTCTTGCTGTCGCTGGGGTTATGAAGTTGAGGTCGCGCATGTGGCTAATGTGCTCAGTTGTGCTCTTCATGTGATTTGCCACTGTTGGGTTCCATAGCCGACACTCCACACCCTACCCCTACCCGCGCAAATCCTGAGTCCCACACCCTCAACCCTTACAGGCCACCCACTCAAGCCTAATGCCAACCCCCGAGGAGTCGTGCCTGCGTTTATAGTGATCTGAGAAAGGCTGCAGTAGTGAACGAAAGCTACACACATGCCAACATTGATGATGATGAGACGAACATCGATAAGCTCCTTCTCTAAGCCGTTCATGATATTTCCCTTCATGCCAGGGGACCCACTCCGAGGCGGCTTGTGGGATTTCACTGCAGTCTCGCTGTGGGACGAAGGCCGCTGCAGCGAATCGTCACAGCCACCCGAGGCTGCGGCCGTTCTTGTCCTTGGCCTCCTGTGCATCGATGCCGTGCTGTTGCAGCTTTGTGCGCCAGGCCAGCGCCGCAGCCCAGCATATCAACGAGATTCGCCCCACGAACAAAAGGGCGGTCTACGATTGATCAGGAGGCCTTTTTTTGTAGTTGTCAGGCCCGGTGTCGGCCCATGCACGGACAACACCCAAGTCAGTTCAATAGACAAGCATCACAATCATACAACCCGATCTCAAAAACTCGCAATCCCAACCTCAGACCTCGGCTCAAACCCTTACCTAAATCACTGATCACCTTGCCTGCTTGCCCTGATCCTTCGCAGAAAGGATTTTTTGATACTGAAGATATCGCAGTGCTGTACCTCGCATCAATACCTGAAGCCTGTACAACAGAGGTGACTTTACAAAGAGCACGAGGAAAGGCTTCGATTTCAAAAGCTGCAAAGGTTACACGGTTAGAGGGTCATGAAAACAGACAAGAAGTCGAAAAAAGTTTGGAAACTTCGGCTTATGGCAATCAGCAGACAACAAAGCCAACGTAAGGCTCAGCACCTCCGGAATTTATGGTAAACTACAGACTTGACCAGCGCGTCTGGCATCTGCCCTCCCGCCTTCTCCGCGCCCGTCGCCAGCAGCTCGCCGACAATCTTTGTGTGGCCCTTCTCAACAGCAGCAATGACGGGGGTCCGGCCTCAGACTCGCACCGCTACATGCCTGAAGCCTCATCCGTCAAACGGATGTTGTCCATGTTGTTGCTGCTCCTGGGGTTAACACCAAGGTCGCGCATATGCTACTGTGCTCAGTCCTGTGGTTCTCTACATGTGATGTTGCCATCGTTGTTCTTCTCCGCTGACATTCCACACCCTACACCCAGCAAACGATGAGTCCGACAGCCTCAACCGGTTCAGGCCACCTAAATAATCTAAATGCCTAACGGCCGACCCCTCCAGACCTCATGGGTTTCTGCTTTGTTCGACTGCTGCGGGTTGGTGTTGATAAGCGAGCGGATTCGTGCCTGCGTTGATGGTGGTTTGAAAAAGGCTGCAGTAGTGAACAAAAACTACACACGTGCCCACACTGATGATGATACTCCGGACATCGATGGACTCCTTCTCTGTAGATTGGCGCAGAATCTCTGATTATAGGCGGATCACTTGTGACTTCTGTCGCGTGTCACTTGTGACTTCTCGAGAGGCGAGTCGCTTGTGACTTCTGTCGGGTGTCACCTGTGACTTCTCTAGCCAGCGAATTTGCAACACACTCTCAGCAAAAATGCATGAAATCACTTGTGACTTCTCTGGCTTGGGATCGGGCTTCAACCTTGCATCTTGGACTTTCTCGCAAGGGTTCGCGGCTTGGGGTCAGAAATCAGGGTTTACGGTCATGGGATTGGGGTCGAGCCTCGGGGTTCAGGGTTTAGGGTTCACGGTTAGTTTAGGGGTTTACGGTTTCAGGGTTTCGGTTTAAGGCAGCGGGCCCGAGTTTTCAGGGAAACACTGCATGAATATTTTCCCGGTAAACTGCTATGGGTCCTCAGGGTGAAGCATGAGGGTTTGGGGTAGCTTAGGGTGGCTTACGGCTTCGGGCGTTCAAGGTTTATTCGCCCGTTTAGGTTTAGGCTTGGGGTTTACGGTTCAGGGTTTGGGATCAGTGTCTAGCCTCAGGGTTCAGGGTTTACGGCGTGAGGCTTAGGGTTCAGGCTTGGCTCGGGATTAGGGTTTACGGTTTGGGGGTAACGTTAAGGCTTGGTCAGGGTCTAGGGTTTGCTGTTTGACTTTGGGGTTTTGGGTTCAGAGTTCGCGATTTAGGGTTAAGGTTTAGGATTCACGGTTTAAGTAAGGTTTGGGATTAGGGTTTAGCCTCGGTTCAAGATTCAGGGTTAGGGTTCAGGGTTGATTACGGTTTAGGATTTACGGTTCAGGGGTTACGCTTCAAGCTTGGTCAGGGTTTGGGGTTTGGGTTTTGGGTTCAGGGTTTGCGGCTTATTGCTAGGGTTTAAGTTTTACCGTTTAAAGTTTAGCCTCAGTGTTCGGGTTGAGGAGTTAGGGTTCAAGGTTGGTTGCGGTTTAGGGCGTGCGGCTCAGGGCTGGTCAGGGTATGGCGAGGGTTTAGGGTTTGCGGTTCAGGGTTCGGGATTACACCCTAGCCTCAGGGTTGAGGGTTGAGGGATCACAGTGTAAGGGTTGAGGTTCAGGCTTGGTTGCGGTTTCGGGTTTACGATTTACGGGTCAGGGTTCTGGGTTGCTCACGGTTTAGGGTTTACGGTTTAGGGTTCAGGGTTGGTCAGGGTTTAGGGTTTACAGGTTCGCGGTTTGTCGGGGTTCGCACCGAGGTTCCGGGCGAAACCGCACCCCGAGGGATCCGAAAAAGACGCCGGTTTTAGCATCAAAACGATCAACCGCATGGGCATCATGGGCAGATCCTCGTGAGCATCTTGTGCACCATGAAAGAGGATGGAGGGGAGCAGGTGGAAGAGGTAGGAGAAGGGAAAGGAGACCAATGAGATGATACCTGGTCGACTTGATAGCATCTCGCTCGAGCCTGACGAGCGGTATATGCTCAGAGCTGCACATTTAGAGCTCGACGGTTCTCCCGAATAACCCTCAGGTCGGGCTCAGTCGGGGTGCCAAGGTCCCTCCAAAAAGGGACACGCAGGGCTGCCTCGGGGAGCTCTACCCCAGACACAAGCAGAAAAGCAAAAGCCTTTTCAGCTTTCACACCTCGTCAACTTGAGCCAAATATCCGCACAGAGGGCTAGTCAGCTACTTGCAGAGCAGACGGTTTGCATGCTGGAGTGCAGGTCAACTTGCAACTACCGATTAACCAGCAAGGACAATGACTTCGGTCCGCATATAGCCCTGATAACGGCATGGGTGATCCAACTGATCATCACTTGCCGTCCTGATCTTGCCTGATGCTCTCTCGTCACTCTGATTGTTTGATACAACCTATAATACGTACAATATGTGTGACTTCCGACGACTGAACGAGAAAGGTGTGCGCCACCTTCTCATAATCATGGCTTGCCTGGCTAATGTGACGTTGATCCATGCCGATCAGACGGGGCCAACAAAACGCCACAACGCATCGCGCTCCCGAGTCAAACTCTCTTCCGTGGGCTGCACCTGCCAACCAAAGAGTATGATAGACTAGAAGCAACACATGCCAGCGGATGCCAGTGGATCATTCCGGGTTCGGCTGTCGTGACAACCCTTTGCACAGCCGACTCTAGCTACTCGGGTCACAGCTCTCATCCCCTCTCTCAGCAATTCTCTTCAAGTGCCATGTGGCAATTGTATATCTCGATGCAGCGTCGCCAGGGTCGCCCTTCCATGCTCAAGGGACTTGTTCGGTCTGGCTTACCTTCGCCGCTAAGTTGGCGACCGTGGTCTTGATCGCCTTCCCTGCCTCGGCCTTGGCGCTGGACTGGCACGACTTGTACGATCCTTCAATTTCCATTTGGCTCGCCAAAATTCTAAAGAATCCCCTATACCACTCTCACATTTTTCGAACTGTCCTTCGAAATCCGCTAGCCTTTCGGACGCCTTACGGAGTCATTTTGTCGTCACTTTCGAAGTTCTCCCCGCCTCTTGCTTCTGACTACTCATTTTTCTGGGCGTCACTGCCTCTGATCCGCAATCGAGCTTCCTTACCTGGTCATCTCGATCGCCACCTCCTTCTTTTCTCAACACCTGTTCCCTCTCATGAGCTGCTGATCCTTCAGCTGTATGGAGCTACATGCGAACATTTAAGTATTTTTGGAACGACCTGGCTACTGCTCAACCAATAATTGTCGAAGCGGTTACCGCACTACAACCGGCAAGGCTATTACTCTTTACCTTTGCCCCCGGAGCAGCACAAGGGTACTTGCGACAGTGAAAAGGACAGATGCGTGATTTCCGGCTGGCCTTGCATAACTTTCGCCGCGTCGCGGCTGCTTCGACAGTCTGCGAGAGGGGACAGGGGACAAAAACCTGCAGCTAGCGGGCGACATCACGAACTGCCCTCGAGGGCTCCAGGTATTGAGCGGCGAAAAACCACTGGCAGAAAAACGGGGCTAAGGACGGAGGAGTGTTCCCTGCAAAAAGCCATGCAGAGCCTTTTTCGTTCTTGCTACAAGTCGGCAATCCGAGCTACAGAAGAGGGCTTTCCCGATGGCTCGTGCGCTGCCAGCATTGCTGGGGCTCCTCAAAATTTGGCTAAAAGGCCTTGGCATGGCGAAACTGCGGGCCATGCCACAGGATGGGGACGGCATTATACTGTGTTCCGAAAGAATACCCTATGGGTCCTCATTGTCAGGAATCTATGGGGGCATGGCGCCCAGAGTTTGGCGAAACAATAAAGAAGCTGCCCCGCAACTCGTGCAGGAGCGCCCAGAACCCGCCGCGGAACTTTTGCCCCAACCTGCCCCAAACCTTATTTCGGTTAACGAGCCCGTTTTTGGAGGAACAGTTCCCTCGGGATGGCTTTGGGCGAGTTCAAAGCCAAGTTCGGAAAGAATGGACCGGACGAGGCTTAAGACAGAAAGCGGATAATCCACATGCGGCATTGCTGGCTAACTGAATAACTTCCACACATAGGAGAGAGAGAGAGAGAGAGACAGAGACAGAGACAGAGACAGAGACAGAGACAGAGACAGAGACAGAGAAAGAGAAAGAGAAAGAGAAAGAGAAAGAGAAAGAGAAAGGGAAAGGGAAAGGGAAAGGGAAAGGGAAAGGGAAAGGGAAAGGGAAAGGGAAAGGGAAAGGGAAAGGGAAAGGGAAAGGGAAAGGGAAAGGGAAAGGGCAAGGGCAAGGGAAAGGGCAAGGGCAAGGGCAAGGGCAAGGGCAAGGGCAAGGGCAAGGGCAAGGGCAAGGGCAAGGGCAAGGGCAAGGGCAAGGGCAAGCACAAGGGCAAGGGCAAGGGCAAGGGCAAGGGCAAGGGCAAGGGCAAGGGCAAGGGCAAGGGAAAGGGAAAGGGAAAGGGAAAGGGAAAGGGAAAGGGAAAGGGAAAGGGAAAGGGAAAGGGAAAGGGAAAGGGAAAGGGAAAGGGAAAGGGAAAGGGAAAGGGAAAGGGAAAGGGGAAAGGGAAAGAGAAAGAGAAGGAGAAGGAGAAGGAGAAGGAGAAGGAGAAGGAGAAGGAGAAGGAGAAGGAGAAGGAGAAGGAGAAGGAGAAAGAGAAAGACAGAGAGAGATGTTTTTGCTAGTGGTTGTTCGGCTCCGCAGCCGTCGCTCGGCAAGCACTTTGGCTAACTCCTCCAAAACCTACCGTCTTGGGGAGCGTTCCCTGGGCACGGCGGTTGGATGTTTATTGGAAGTAAGCGAGTGCGTGGTGCAACAGTATGGGTACCACCACGCGCGAGCGTTATTCCAATTTTCTACGCCGGAGCCAGGATAGCATTTGCATGTTACATCCTGCTTGTAGCTGAATCTGACTCGGAATGGCCATTCTGGGTAAGTCCCCCCCGGGGAAAACATTCGAAGTTCTCACCCTACCCATTTGGGAGGACGAGCCGCTACCTGCTAGCCGCAGGCCACCTGCTCCAGGCTACCTGCGGCTAACTGTGATATTTGATCACACACACGGGCCAAGCAAAGAGCGCTGTCCTGATCGTGGTTGTTCGGCTCCCCGCCGTCGCCGTTCGGTTAGCACTCACTGACTATGCCTATGCCTATACACTCCTATGCACACAAGGAAATCTTGAAGGGAGACAAAGGGAGACCAGGAACACAAGAACCCCGACAATCGCCACCCACTCAACGGAAATCATGAAGGGAGACAAAGGGGTGACAAGGCAAACCATGAAGGGAGACACAAGGGGGAGACAAACGCAGACAAGGAGACCCACAGACAAGGATTTGCGGAGGGAGACAGGGAGACAAAGGGAGACCAAAGCAGTCAATGGCGACCCACAGACGAGGAAAAATGAAGGGAGACAAACAAAGGGAGACAAAGGCAGACAAGGAACCCGGCAATGGCGACACACAAACAGGGATATATGAAGGGCAGACAAGGAGTCCAGGAACCCGGCAATGCGACCCATAGACAAGGACCTATGAAGGGAGACAAGGGGAGACGGGAAACCAAGGAACCCGGTAATGGCGACCCACAAACACTGATATAGGAAGGGAGAAAAGGGGAGAAATGTAGCCAAGGAACCCGGCAATGGTCACTAGGATGTCGGCACTTCTTGAAACAATGGAGAACCCCTACCGTAAACTGCTTGGGGAATAAACCCTCGGTTCTGCGTGCCAAGGTCCTTTGCCGCGGGGAGCACGTGATACACGAAAAAATTGAAGTGCCTCCTCCAGCGTGGGACACACTGCTCTACGCTAGACACAAGCAGAAAAGCAAAAGCCTTTTCAGCTTTCACACCTCGTCAACTTGAGCCAAATATCCGCACAGAGGGCTTGCAGAGCAGACGGTTTGCATGCCGGAGTTCGTTCAAAGCAAATAATAATAACCAGCAAGGACTATGACTTCGGTCCGCATAGCCCTGATGACGGCATGGGTGATCCAACCGATCATCACTTGCCGTCCTGATCTTGCCTGATGCGCTCTCGTCTTCCCGATCTCTGACAATCTGATCATGCCAGTTTGTCGACTCCTGATGCTTCCGATATTCCCAGTTCGTCGTCGTCTGATCGTTGTCGTCATTTGATACCCATCCGACCACCTAGCCATCGGACCACCTAGCCGCATCCTAGTATCCATAGGTGTGACTTAATTCCGGCGACGAAAAAGGGGTGCAAAACATTTTCCCATCTTTTCACATCCCTTCATGCCAGCGTGTATCCAATGTAGAGGTGCCGGATTTTGCTGGACCGAATCGTCCAAGCTACCCGAGGCTGTGGCCGTCGTTGTCCTTGGCCTCCTGTGCAGGGATGCCGCGCGGCTGCAGCTTTGCATTGAAACTGCTGAAGGACGAGACTATCCAAGCCCTGAGTGCACGAGTAGGCGTTGACCTTCAAACGTTTGATCCAGAGGCCTAGACCTAAAGTTACCCAAAGTTTCTTCTACAGTCATTGAGTAAGACAGACCTTGGGTATTCTACGCTCCCTGTCTTCTCCGGCTTATCGTCTCCTCTCCAAGATCAAAGACTCAAACAACACCAGGTGCACATCAACCAAGGGTCGTCCCGCGAAAAGAGCGTGGCACGAGACCGGTGGTTTACGATTGATCTGGGGGCCTCCTTTTGATTTGCAAGTGTCGCTTCAGCCCTTGTGCGACAAACAACGCCTCAAACCCTAGCCTCAGGCCTTCTCAAGCTTCAACCCAAATGCAATCCACACACCCTCTACTCAGAAAGGCCTCAACATTCTCCCAAGGCTTGCCTCTTCAGACTTTCAAGTTGCAGTTTCCTGATTCAGGCCCTTCCCTAAGTCATGCACTCGTCATCCTGCCTGCTTGCCTTGCCTCTTAGCAGAAGGGACTACAAGGTTCCGATCAACGAAAGCTTCAACGGTTAGAGGCTCATGAACAAAACAACACACGTGAGGCAACCAAGGGAACTTCGCCGGAGCGCGGTCACCAAGCAAAGCCAGATCGCAGCAGCAGCTCGTTACGTTACGAGAGGAGCCACTTTCGTCGGCTGTCGGGCAACAGATCTCAACACCGCTGTTCGCCAGCTCGTGTCTGCAAAGTTCTACCATCTTCCTACTCAGTCCATAGCAATACTGCAGCCCGAAGAGCGTAGTGGTGAGAACTTACGTAACGACGGCTCACTGGACGGATTCCGCAAGAGTTGCAAACCTCAGCCCTTTTGAGATCGACCTGCACAGCCCCATAACCTCGGCAAGACTGAGCCGCGTAACTCCGGAACCTATGCGCAACTACTCACATTACGCCGACACCTGCCCTCCCGCCTTCTCTGCACCTTTCGCCAGCAGCTCTTTGACGATCTCTGTGTGGCCGTTGTCGGCGGCGCGCAACATGGGGGTCAAGCCTCAGACTCGCGCCGCTCAAAGGGCTTCAGCTACATCCGTCAAAAGGATGCAGTTGCATGGTGATTCTTCTTGCTGCCGCTGGGTTAAAGTTGAGGTCGCGCATCCGGCTAATGTGCCCACTGGGCTCTTCATGTGACTTGCCACTGCTGGTTTTCATAGCCGACACTCCACACCTTACCCCTACCCCCGCAAATCCTGAGTCCCACACCCTCAATCTTTACAGGCCACCTAACGAAGCCCAATGCCAACCCCCACGGAGTCGTGCCTGCGTTTATCGTGATCCGAGAAAGGCTACAGTAGTGACCGAAAAACTACACACATGCCAACATTGATGATGATGCGACGAACATCGGTGGGCTCCTTCTCTGGTTCTTTCATTATACAGTCCCCTGGATGCCAGTGGGTAGCCATTGTAGGGACCCACTCCGTCAAGTGCTTGGGCTTTCAGTGGGACGAAGGCGGCTGCCCCGAATCTTCCCGAATCGTCACAGCCACCCGAGGCTGCGGCCGTTCTTGTCCTTGGCCTCCTGTGCAGGGATGCTGTACGGTTGCAGCTTTGTGTGGAGGCCGTTGAATGATGCAACTATCCCAACCCTGAGCACACGAATTGTCTAGCAAGGCCTGGACCTAACGTTGTTCTCCTCAGTCATTACAATGAAGCCTTGGGTGTTCTAAGCTCGTTTCTTGAGTTCGGCGTTTCTTCTCCAAAAGCAAACCCTCGGCAACATCAGCTGCTGGTCAGCTCCCCAGCCGAGCACGTCAACACGATTCGCCCCACGAACAAGCGTGGTTCGAGCCGGTGGTCGGACCTTCTCAGACTTCCTCCAAACACCGGCAATCCCAACCTCAGACCTCTTAGAGTCTTAGACAGTCCTGACAAATGCCTGAACATCCCAGCCGTGCCTTTTCAGGCATTAAGTGACACTCGTCCTTCCCTAAGTCATGCTCTCCATCTTGCCCGGTTGCCTTGACTCTTAGCACAACAGAAGGTGCTCAAAGAGAATGCTTCAACGCTTGAAGGGTTATGAACACAACAAAAAAATCACGGCAGCTCGGAAATGTTGCCTCAAAGCCGTCACCAAGCTAAGCCAGCTCGTGTCTGCATCAGTCCATAGCTAAGCTGCATCCCGAAGAATGTAGTGGTGACAAATCACTGTGAGGGCTAGTCTACGTTTGGGGGCTAGCCTCAGACCTGGGTATGACTGAGCCGCGTAACTCCGGAACCTATGGGTAACTACTTGGCAACTGCAGTCTTGACTACAAATCCAACACAACAGCTCAAACCATGTCCACATCCACCCTCCCACCTTCTCCGCACCCTGTGCCAGAAGCTCTTTGACGATCTCTGTGTGGCCCTTGTCGGCGGCGAGCCAAAGGGGGGTCAAGCCTCAGACTCGCACCGCTCAAAGGGCTTCAGCTACATCGGTCAAACGGATGTAGTATGGTAATTCTTCTTGCTGTCGCCGCTGGGGATATAAAAATGAGGTCGTGCATGCGGCTAATGTGCCCACTGGGCTCTTCATGTGACTTGCCACTGCTGGTTTTCATAGCCGACACTCCACACCTTACCCCTACCCCCGCAAATCCTGAGTCCCACACCCTCAATCCTTACAGGCCACCTAACGAAGCCCAATGCCAACCCCCACGGAGTCGTGCCTGCGTTTATCGTGATCCGAGAAAGGCTACAGTAGTGACCGAAAAACTACACACATGCCAACATTGATGATGATGCGACGAACATCGATGGGCTCCTTCTCTGGTTCTTTCATTATACAGTCCCCTGGATGCCAGTGGTAGCCATTGTAGGGACCCACTCCGTCAAGTGCTTGGGCTTTCAGTGGGACGAAGGCTGCTGCCCCGAATCTTCCCGAATCGTCACAGCCACCCGAGGCTGCGGCCGTTCTTGTCCTTGGCCTCCTGTGCAGGGATGCTGTACGGTTGCAGCTTTGTGTGGAGGCCGTTGAATGATGCAACTATCCCAACCCTGAGCACACGAATTGTCTAGCAAGGCCTGGACCTAACGTTGTTCTCCTCAGTCATTACAATGAAGCCTTGGGTGTTCTAAGCTCGTTTCTTGAGTTCGGCGTTTCTTCTCCAAAAGCAAACCCTCGGCAACATCAGCTGCTGGTCAGCTCCCCAGCCGAGCACGTCAACACGATTCGCCCCACGAACAAGCGTGGTTCGAGCCGGTGGTCGGACCTTCTCAGACTTCCTCCAAACACCGGCAATCCCAACCTCAGACCTCTTAGAGTCTTAGACAGTCCTGACAAATGCCTGAACATCCCAGCCGTGCCTTTTCAGGCATTAAGTGACACTCGTCCTTCCCTAAGTCATGCTCTCCATCTTGCCCGGTTGCCTTGACTCTTAGCACAACAGAAGGTGCTCAAAGAGAATGCTTCAACGCTTGAAGGGTTATGAACACAACAAAAAAATCACGGCAGCTCGGAAATGTTGCCTTAAAGCCGTCACCAAGCTAAGCCAGCTCGTGTCTGCATCAGTCCATAGCTAAGCTGCATCCCGAAGAATGTAGTGGTGACAAATCACTGTGAGGGCTAGTCTACGTTTGGGGGCTAGCCTCAGACCTGGGCATGACTGAGCCGCGTAACTCCGGAACCTCTGGGCAACTGCAGTCTTGACTACAAATCCAACACAACAGATCAAACTATGTCCACATCCGCCCTCTCACCTTCTCCGCACCCTGTGCCAGAAGCTCTTTGACGATCTCTGTGTGGCCCTTGTCGGCGGCGCGCAACATGGGGGTCAAGCCTCAGACTTGCATCGCTCAAAGGGCTTCAGCTACATCCGTCAAACGGATGTAGTTGCATGGTGATTCTTCTTGCTGTCGCTGGGGTTATAAAGTTGAGGTCGTGCATGCGGCGAATGTGCTCAGTTGTGCTCTTCATGTCATTTGCCACTGTTGCTTTTCATAGCCGACACTCCACACCCTACCCCCACGTAACGAAGCCTAATGCCAACCCCCACGGAGTCGTGCCTGCGTTTATCGTGATCCGAGAAAGGCTACAGTAGTGACCGAAAAACTACACACATGCCAACATTGATGATGATGCGACGAACATCGGTGGGCTCCTTCTCTGGTTCTTTCATTATACAGTCCCCTGGATGCCGGTGGGTAGCCATTGTAGGGACCCACTCCGTCAAGTGCTTGGGCTTTCAGTGGGACGAAGGCTGCTGCCCTGAGTCTTCCCGAATCGTCACAGCCACCCGAGGCTGCGGCCGTTCCTTTCCTTGGCCTCCTGTGCAGGGATGCTGTACGGCTGCAGATTTGTGTGGAAGGCCGTTGAATGATGCAACTATCCCAGCCCTGAGCACACGAATTGTCTAGCAAGGCCTGGACCTAACGTTGTTCTTCTCAGTCATATTACAATGAGGCCTTGGGTGTTCTGAGCTCGTTTCTTGAGTTCAGCGTTTTTTCTCCAAGAGCAAACCCTCGGCAACATCAGCTGGTCAGCTCCCCAGCCGAGCACGTCAACACGATTCGCCCCACGAACAAGCGTGGTTCGAGCCGGTGGTCGGACCTTCTCAGACTTCCTCCAAACACCGGCAATCCCAACCTCAGACCTCTTAGAGTCTTAGACAGTCCTGACAAATGCCTGAACATCCCAGCCGTGCCTTTTCAGGCATTAAGTGACACTCGTCCTTCCCTAAGTCATGCTCTCCATCTTGCCCGGTTGCCTTGACTCTTAGCACAACAGAAGGTGCTCAAAGAGAATGCTTCAACGCTTGAAGGGTTATGAACACAACAAAAAAATCACGGCAGCTCGGAAATGTTGCCTTAAAGCGGTCACCAAGCTAAGCCAGCTCGTGTCTGCATCAGTCCATAGCTAAGCTGCATCCCGAAGAATGTAGTGGTGACAATTGCCTTAAAGCGGTCACCAAGCTAAGCCAGCTCGTGTCTGCATCAGTCCATAGCTAAGCTGCATCCCGAAGAATGTAGTGGTGACAAATCACTGTGAGGGCTAGTCTACGTTTGGGGGCTAGCCTCAGACCTGGGCATGACTGAGCCGCGTAACTCCGGAACCTCTGGGCAACTGCAGTCTTGACTACAAATCCAACACAACAGATCAAACTATGTCCACATCCGCCCTCTCACCTTCTCCGCACCCTGTGCCAGAAGCTCTTTGACGATCTCTGTGTGGCCCTTGTCGGCGGCGCGCAACATGGGGGTCAAGCCTCAGACTTGCATCGCTCAAAGGGCTTCAGCTACATCCGTCAAACGGATGTAGTTGCATGGTGATTCTTCTTGCTGTCGCTGGGGTTATAAAGTTGAGGTCGTGCATGCGGCGAATGTGCTCAGTTGTGCTCTTCATGTCATTTGCCACTGTTGCTTTTCATAGCCGACACTCCACACCCTACCCCCACGTAACGAAGCCTAATGCCAACCCCCACGGAGTCGTGCCTGCGTTTATCGTGATCCGAGAAAGGCTACAGTAGTGACCGAAAAACTACACACATGCCAACATTGATGATGATCAACGAACATCGATGGGCTCCTTCTCTGGTTCTTTCATTATACAGTCCCCTGGATGCCAGTGGTAGCCATTGTAGGGACCCACTCCGTCAAGTGCTTGGGCTTTCAGTGGGACGAAGGCTGCTGCCCCGAGTCTTCCCGAATCGTCACAGCCACCCGAGGCTGCGGCCGTTCTTGTCCTCGGCCTCCTGTGCAGGGATGCTGTACGGTTGCAGCTTTGTGTGGAGGCCGTTGAATGATGCAACTATCCCAACCCTGAGCACACGAATTGTCTAGCAAGGCCTGGACCTAACGTTGTTCTCCTCAGTCATTACAATGAAGCCTTGGGTGTTCTAAGCTCGTTTCTTGAGTTCGGCGTTTCTTCTCCAAAAGCAAACCCTCGGCAACATCAGCTGCTGGTCAGCTCCCCAGCCGAGCACGTCAACACGATTCGCCCCACGAACAAGCGTGGTTCGAGCCGGTGGTCGGACCTTCTCAGACTTCCTCCAAAAACCGGCAATCCCAACCTCACACCTCTTAGACAGTCCTGACAAATGCCTGAACATCCCAAGCCGTGCCTTTTCAGGCATTAAGTGACACTCCCTTGGTTCAGGTCCTTCCCTAAGTCATGCTCTCCATCTTGCCCGGTTGCCTTGACTCTCAAACATAATGCTTCAACGCTTGAAGGGTTATGAACACAACAAAAAAATCACGGCAACTCGGAAATGTTGCCTTAAAGCGGTCACCAAGCTAAGCCAGCTCGTGTCTGCATCAGTCCATAGCTAAGCTGCATCCCGAAGAATGTAGTGGCGAGAAATTAGCCTCAGACCCGGGTATGACTGAGCCGCGTAACTCCGGAACCTATGGGCAACTACTTGGCAACTACAGTCTTGACTACAAATCCAACACAACAGCTCAAACCATGTCCACATCCGCCCTCTCACCTTCTCCGCACCCTGTGCCAGAAGCTCTTTGACGATCTCTGTGTGACCCTTGTCGGCGGCGAGCCAAAGGGGGGTCAAGCCTCAGACTCGCACCGCTCAAAGGGCTTCAGCTGCATCCGTCAAACGGATGTAGTTGCATGATGATTCTTCTTGGTCGCCGGGGCATTTAAGGTGAGGTCGCACATGCGGCTAATGTGCTCAGTTGTGCTCTTCAAGTGATTAGCCACTGTTGCTTTTCATAGCCGACACTCCAGACCCTCCCCTCCCCCCACACCCGCAAATCCTGAGTCCCACACCCTCAATCCTTACAGGCCACCTAACGAAGCCTAATGCCAACCCCCACGGAGTCGTGCCTGCGTTTATCGTGATCCGAGAAAGGCTACAGTAGTGACCGAAAAACTACACACATGCCAACATTGATGATGATGCGACGAACATCGATGGGCTCCTTCTCTGGTTCTTTCATTATACAGTCCCCTGGATGCCAGTGGGTAGCCATTGTAGGGACCCACTCCGTCAAGTGCTTGGGCTTTCAGTGGGACGAAGGCGGCTGCCCCGAATCTTCCCGAATCGTCACAGCCACCCGAGGCTGCGGCCGTTCTTGTCCTTGGCCTCCTGTGCAGGGATGCTGTACGGTTGCAGCTTTGTGTGGAGGCCGTTGAATGATGCAACTATCCCAACCCTGAGCACACGAATTGTCTAGCAAGGCCTGGACCTAACGTTGTTCTCCTCAGTCATTACAATGAAGCCTTGGGTGTTCTGAGCTCGTTTCTTGAGTTCGGCGTTTCTTCTCCAAAAGCAAACCCTCGGCAACATCAGCTGCTGGTCAGCTCCCCAGCCGAGCACGTCAACACGATTCGCCCCACGAACAAGCGTGGTTCGAGCCGGTGGTCGGACCTTCTCAGACTTCCTCCAAAAACCGGCAATCCCAACCTCACACCTCTTAGACAGTCCTGACAAATGCCTGAACATCCCAAGCCGTGCCTTTTCAGGCATTAAGTGACACTCCCTTGGTTCAGGTCCTTCCCTAAGTCATGCTCTCCATCTTGCCCGGTTGCCTTGACTCTCAAACATAATGCTTCAACGCTTGAAGGGTTATGAAAACAACAAAAAAATCACGGCAACTCGGAAATGTTGCCTTAAAGCGGTCACCAAGCTAAGCCAGCTCGTGTCTGCATCAGTCCATAGCTAAGCTGCATCCCGAAGAATGTAGTGGCGAGAAATTAGCCTCAGACCCGGGTATGACTGAGCCGCGTAACTCCGGAACCTATGGGCAACTACTTGGCAACTACAGTCTTGACTACAAATCTAACACAACAGCTCAAACCATGTCCACGTCCGAACTCCCACCTTCTCCGCACCCTGTGCCAGAAGCTCTTTGACGATCTCTGTGTGACCCTTGTCGGCGGCGAGCCAAAGGGGGGTCAAGCCTCAGACTCGCACCGCTCAAAGGGCTTCAGCTGCATCCGTCAGACGGATGTAGTTGCATGGTGATTCTTCGTGCTGTCGCTGGCGTTACAAAGTTGAGGTCGCGCATGCGGCTAATGTGCTCAGTTGTGCTCTTCATGTGATTTGCCACTGTTGGGTTCCATAGCCGACAATCCACACCCTACCCCTACCCCCGCAAATCCTGAGTCCCACACCCTCAACCCTTACAGGCCACCTAACGAAACCTAATGCCAACCCCTAAGGAGTCGTGCCTGCGTTTATCGTGATCTGAGAAAGGCTACAGTAGTGACCGAAAACCTACACACATGCCAACATTGATGATGATGATGCGACGAACGTCGATGGGCTCCTTCTCTGGTTCTTTCATTATACAGTCCCCTGGATGCCAGTGGGTAGCCATTGCAGGGACCCACTCCGTCAAGTGCTTGGGCTTTCAGTGGGACGAAGGCTGCTGCCCCGAATCTTCCCGAATCGTCACAGCCACCCGAGGCTGCGGCCGTTCTTGTCTTTGGCCTCCTGTGCAGGGATGCTGTACGGATGCGACTATCCCAGCCCTGAGCCTGAGCACACGAATTGTCTAGCAAGGCCTGGACCTAACGTTGTTCTCCTCAGTCATTACAATGAAGCCTTGGGTGTTCTAAGCTCGTTTCTTGAGTTCGGCGTTTCTTCTCCAAAAGCAAACCCTCGGCAACATCAGCTGCTGGTCAGCTCCCCAGCCGAGCACGTCAACACGATTCGCCCCACGAACAAGCGTGGTTCGAGCCGGTGGTCGGACCTTCTCAGACTTCCTCCAAAAACCGGCAATCCCAACCTCAGACCTCTTAGACAGTCCTGACAAATGCCTGAACATCCCAAGCCGTGCCTTTTCAGGCATTAAGTGACACTCCCTTGGTTCAGGTCCTTCCCTAAGTCATGCTCTCCATCTTGCCCGGTTGCCTTGACTCTCAAAGATAATGCTTCAACGCTTGAAGGGTTATGAACACAACAAAAAAATCACGGCAACTCGGAAATGTTGCCTTAAAGCGGTCACCAAGCTAAGCCAGCTCGTGTCTGCATCAGTCCATAGCTAAGCTGCATCCCGAAGAATGTAGTGGCGAGAAATCACTGTGAGGGCTCGTCTATGTTTGGGGGCTAGCCTCAGACCTGGGCATGACTGAGCCGCGTAACTCCGGAACCTCTGGGCAACTACTTGGCAACTGCCGTCTTGACTACAAATCCAACACAACAGCTCAAACCATGTCCACATCCGCCCTCTCACCTTCTCCGCACCCTGTGCCAGAAGCTCTTTGACGATCTCTGTGTGGCCCTTGTCGGCGGCGAGCCAAAGGGGGGTCAAGCCTCAGACTCGCCCTGCTGAAGGGTAGGGGGGTCCAGTTCGCATCCACTTTACGGTCGAGTGCGCTTCAAATTCCACCTTTCGGTCCAGCGCACATCGGGGCTTACCGAAATGCATGCGCACTGGACCTCCCTTGCACCGCCCTGCCCCGGGGGTTCAGTGTGCATCCTTTTCCAACACGCCCCTCCTTCGGCGATTGCGGTCCATCGTATATCTTAAACACGTCCCCTGATTTAGTGAACCCGGTTCATCAAAAATCTATATCCGGTTCATGATATACCTTAAACACGCCCCCCCCCTCCTCCTTAGGGTTTTCGTCTGCGGCCAAAGGTTCCTGAGGGGTTTACTCCTTAAGGGTTTCGTCTGTGGCAAAAGGTTCGTGCTGGGCTTGCTCCTTCGGGTTTCGTTTTTGCTAGAGCCCATGCTGGGTTTACTCCTTAAAGTTTTCGTCATCGGCCACAGGTTCATCCTGGGTTTGCTCTTTAGGGGTTTGCGTCTTCGGCCAACGCTTCCTGCAGGGTTTACTCCTGTCCATAAAGTTTCGTCGTTGCTAGAGTTCGATGCCGGGTTTACTCCTTAGGTTTTCGTCATCGGCCACATCACCATCATCGATCGTCAGTCGTCATCACCATCACCATCATCATCATCATCAACAGCAATAACATCACGATCATCATCATCATCATCGTCACCATCGTCCTCATCATCGACATCATCATCTTCTTCTTCACCATCATCGTCACCATCGTCCTCATCATCGACATCATCATCATCATCAGCGGCATCATCATCATCATCATCATCATCATCATCATCATCATCGCGAGGACTCCACCCCGCTGTGTTCCACGCAGAAGGATGCGCACTGCACCCCTCCCGAGAGGGCGCGCGACTGCCCCCTCATGGTGTTTCACACGAAAAGGATGCGCACTCGACCGTAAAGTGGATGCACACTGGACCGTTAAGTAGATGTGCACTCGACCCCGCCCCCCTGCAGGGCTTCAGCTTCATCCATCACGCCGCCCGAGGCTGTGGCCGCTGTTGCTCTTGGCATCCTGTAGTACAGCGATGCGGCTCGATTGCAGTCTTGTGTGCGAGGCCGCTGAAGGATGGCACATGCCCCGACAGTTGCGGCAACTGGGAAACGTTGCGATAAAGCGGCGCAAACCTAAGGAAGCTAGCAGCAGCTCCTTACGTTACGAGAGGAGCAACAGACTGCAACAGGTTTCAACCTAGGCTGTCGCCAGCTCGTGTCTGCAACGTGCTACCATCTTCCTTGTCAGTCCATACCAAGGCTGCAAAGTTCACTGTGAGAGTTCATCTACGTCTGCAGGCTTGCCTCAGACCTGGGCATGACTGAGCCGCGTAACTCCGGAACCTCTGGGCAACTACTTGGCAACTGCCGTCTTGACTACAAATCCAACACAACAGCTCAAACCATGTCCACATCCGCCCTCTCACCTTCTCCGCACCCTGTGCCAGAAGCTCTTTGACGATCTCTGTGTGGCCCTTGTCGGCGGCGAGCCAAAGGGGGGTCAAGCCTCAGACTCGCCCTGCTGAAGGGTAGGGGGGTCCAGTTCGCATCCACTTTACGGTCGAGTGCGCTTCAAATTCCACCTTTCGGTCCAGCGCACATCGGGGCTTACCGAAATGCATGCGCACTGGACCTCCCTTGCACCGCCCTGCCCCGGGGGTTCAGTGTGCATCCTTTTCCAACACGCCCCTCCTTCGGCGATTGCGGTCCATCGTATATCTTAAACACGTCCCCTGATTTAGTGAACCCGGTTCATCAAAAATCTATATCCGGTTCATGATATACCTTAAACACGCCCCCCCCCTCCTCCTTAGGGTTTTCGTCTGCGGCCAAAGGTTCCTGAGGGGTTTACTCCTTAAGGGTTTCGTCTGTGGCAAAAGGTTCGTGCTGGGCTTGCTCCTTCGGGTTTCGTTTTTGCTAGAGCCCATGCTGGGTTTACTCCTTAAAGTTTTCGTCATCGGCCACAGGTTCATCCTGGGTTTGCTCTTTAGGGGTTTGCGTCTTCGGCCAACGCTTCCTGCAGGGTTTACTCCTGTCCATAAAGTTTCGTCGTTGCTAGAGTTCGATGCCGGGTTTACTCCTTAGGTTTTCGTCATCGGCCACATCACCATCATCGATCGTCAGTCGTCATCACCATCACCATCATCATCATCATCAACAGCAATAACATCACGATCATCATCATCATCATCACCATCATCATCATCATCATCATCATTGCCATGGTCGCGCGCGGATTCCTTCAACTTTTCGCCGATTATTCCGTCAACCACTGCCCGCGGATTCTGTCAACCCGTCAACGCGGATGCCTTCAACCTCAAAACCTGATTCCTTCAACCAAACAACGCAGATTCACTCAACCACGTCCCCGGGAATGATTCCTTCAACCCAAACAACTGCTTCGTTCAACCTATACAGAAAGAGTCGCTCCAACTACAGACACGCGTGCTACCCCAACCACGAGGACTTACTCAACCACAAACACGCGGATTCTTGTGCCCCGGGTTTGCTTTTCCTACAAAAACAAACTCTGGGGGGAGGATTTTGTTTTCACTAGGAAAACAAACTCCGAAGGCGGGGTGCAGGGGAGTTTGTTTTTTCCTACAGAAAACAAACTCTGGGGGAGGGCTTTGTTTTTCCTACAAAAAACAAACTTTGGGGGAGGGCTTTGTGTTTCCTACAGAAAACAAACCCTGGGGGGAGGGGTTCGTTTTCACTAGGAAAAACAAACTCCGAAGAGGGGGGGGGGTCCAGGCGAGCTTGTTTTTTCCGCAAACAGAAACAAACACTGGGAGGAGGGGTTGGGTTTGTTTCGCCGGAAGAAAACAAACGTTTGCGGATCATCTTTGGTTGGGTCACGAAGAGCCAGGTTGGGGAGGAGAGGAAAACAAACCAACTTGAAACTCCGTCTCGACGAGTTTGTTTCAGCGGGGACAAACAAACCCTGACCAGGTGAGTTTGTTTCAGCGGTGAAAAAACTCCTATGGGAGAAGTTTGTTTGTTTCAGTGATGCTAGCGGGAGTGGTTTGGGCGGCGCGGGGGTAGAGGAGGATTTGTTTTTCCTACAAAAACAAACTCTGGGGGGAGGGTTTTGTGTTTCCTACAGAAAACAAACTCTGGGGGGAACGGTTTGTTGGTCCAAGGAAAACACACTCCAAACAAACTCCGAGGGAAGATGAAAACACTCGGAAGGTGGAGGTTGTCCTTCCTACAAGGGTTAGCCGCACGAAATCGTTTCACGGAGTTACAAGCAAAGAAAAGAAAGTAAATACTGTATAACCAAAAACTAATTGAAAACGTTATCTCCAACACGAAGAATTCAGCCACACGAAATCGCTTCCGGGGGTTAGAAGCGACGAACAAGATTCAACATTATATAGCAGAACATTACACAAAAACGTCTTTGCCAACACAAACGAAGAGGCCACATAAAATCGCTTTAGGTGGGCTAAAAGCGAAGAACAAAGCAAATAAACAACATTTCATCAACATGAAGGAAGAAGCCACACAAAACCGCTTCAGAAAGGTACAAAGCTAAACAAAGAAGTGGCGCTTGTCTTTTTTACAAAAGAAGAAGAGCCTCACGAAATCGTTTCAGGAAGTCCGAAGCGAACGTCTTTTCCAACACGATCGAAGAGGCCACACGAAATCGCTTCAGGGGCGTGAAGAGCGAAGAAAAAAACAAATGAGGTACAACCGAAAATTAAACCAAAACATTTCATCAACATGAAGGAAGAAGCCACACGAAATTGCTTTAGAAAGGTAGAGGAAAAGTGAAGCTCGTCTTTCCTACAACAAGAAGACGAGCCGCACGAAATCGTTTCAGGGGGTTGAAAGCAATTGTCTTTTCCAACACGAACGAAGAGGCTGCCCGAAATCGCTGCAGGGGGGTTAAGAGCGAAGAAGAAAGTAAATGAGGTACAACCGAAAACTAAGCACAAACATTTCATCAGCGTCAAGGAAGAAGCCACACGAAATCCCTTTAGGAAGGCAAAAAGAGAAGCAAAGTGGAGCTTGTCTTTCCTACAAGAATAAGACATTGAATAAGAAGGAGAGCTGCACGAACTCGCTTCGAGGGGTAAAAGCGAAGAAAAGAAAGTAAATACTGTATAGCTGAAAAGTACACAAAAACGTCTTTTCCAACAC